TTTGTCCAATCTTCCACTTCTTGTAAGAATGGAATCTCAATGCTAAGATTCAGGTTGAAAAAGCAATCCATTGAAGTCAGGAAATTCATAGTTGGCTTCCACAAACAGCTTTTGCTCTGACCCATGTGAATAGCCACCTTCTGCCTATCCACCAGCAGTCTCCCTGCCCCATCTCTTACAGCCATGTGGCACCGTGACCTCTGTCACATTCCAATACAAACTGGAATGACGTCAGGATTGGAGTTACATTGTTATTTATAGAGCACCAAAAGTAAACAAGGTGCTTTAGAGACAAGGGATTTTGGCCCTGCTTTGTACTGAAAATGTCATCAACTACCATACTGTAGAAATCCCCTTCATACATGGCCATAGGACCCCAAACACAGACCCCCCCTTTATTTCAACAAAAACTGCACTGACATGTATCCTCCATTCTGCCACATCCACCCTTCAAGATGCATCTTGGGCTTGGCTCAGCTGGGAGAACGCATCTTGTTAGAACACACCTTGACTAACACAATGTGTCAGACTGTGTAGATTAGACTTGTGTGTCAAATTGTGTTAGCTGATTGTGGGTTACCAGTTAGTTAACCTTTGTTCTAACTAGATGGCTTTTCCCACTTTAGACAAGCCCCCTGACTGGCCCTTCCAAATATTTGTAACTCTCTGATGTGACTCAGTTGCTGCCCCCTAGTGAACAAGAGCACAGGGTCAGAGTTAAGGGTGTTTGGACAACTTTGCCATTGCATTTCCTGATTTTCACACTCTTGTTTCAGCATCCCCGTAAACAAACATTCCTTCCATTGTAGAATTTCTAACGTCGCCGAGACTTTTGATCATAGTATTTGGAATCACTTCTAGGGCATCTCACTTCCAATGGGCTGGAGCAGTCCAGACCAGTGGGGGGTTGTGTCACTGCCTGTCCTGGAACCCTAAATGCCTTAAAATGCTCGGCTGCTGTAGCTCCCTGTCTGGATGCTCCCAGCCAGCATACAAGCATGCTTTGAGTGTCTGTGTGACAAGTCATCCTGGACCAGCAGCTCTGACTCCAGCAGCCTGCTTGCTACACCACAGGCACACTCTGGCCACCACAAGCCTTGGTTACACCTGGCAAGGTGACCCCTACTCCCCCCGTCCTGAATTTTTTCCAAACCATGTGTTCTTCTTCGAGTGATGGTTCCTATTGTATTCCACTGTGGGTTCTGCATGCGCAGCATGCCTCCAGAGTCGGTGAATTTGAAAGTAGTGTCCGTGGTCCATGCATGCACCCTGGCTCGCCTCGTGCTTCCAACTGAGGTGATAAATGGTGGGGTGGTCTGACCGCCTCTTCAGTTCCTTCTCAGCACCGCATGGTTTGGGTTGGAACCTCCAATGTCCTCATCTCTGATGTCATTCTAAATAAACAGTTGTAAATCATTTTATTAATTCTTCTTCGAGTGATTACTCATGTTGATTCCAAGTAGGTGTGTGCGCGCCGCATGCACAGTCATTGGAAGGTTTTTCCCCTAGCGGTACCCATTGGGTCGACTATGGAGCCCCCTGGAGTGGCGCCTTCATGGAGGTGTATGTAGATCCCTGCCAACCTGCTGCCTCTTCAGTTTCTTCTTATCGCCAGTGATGGTCATTGGAGCAGCTTCTCTCTTGCGAACAGCAAGCAATCCCATAGTGGACTTTAATTCAATGTTACCTGTAAATAGTTAAAATCTTATAGTCAGTTAGTGTAAATAGTATAGTTAGTTTAGATAAGTTTCAGTTGGGAGTCCCCCACCTATCTTGTTTCTCCTCCCGGGGACTGGGGCATGTCTCAGTCTCAGGGTTTCAAGCCGTGCGGGTCCTGCCTGAAGCCTATGCCAAAGGGAGACCCACACGACTCCGGTCTGAAGTGCCTGGGAGAGTCACACCAACCAGACAAGTGCAAAAACTGCAAAGGCTTAAGACCAAGGGCCAAAAAAGAGAGGGACTTTAGGCTGAAACTGCTCCTTATGGAGTCAGCCCTTTGTCCCAAGCCAGCCCAGGTGGCATCCAACCCCACATCAGGACACCCAGCTCTGACTCTGCCGACACCTTTGACTCCAGCCTCGCGGGGAGGTCTGTCTAGTCCGGTTCTCGTGGATTTCCCGGTAATGGAGCAGGAGTGTTGGGAGGAGGACATAGATCTTCCTTCCACACCGGACTCCTTTGAGGCAGCTAGGGACCTCATAACGATGATGGCGCAGTCCCTGGCACTGGCGCCGCAGAGAGGTACTGTGCCCTCAAGAGGCAAGCCAACAATGATGCAGCAATGCTCACCCTCACCTTCAGCTGAGGGACTTGTAGCCTTTTATTTTAGGTGAATTTTGTAATGTGGTGTTACACCACCGTGGGCTCGACTCTGGTGGCTACAGTTTCAAGCTTAACAGAGTGAAAGCTACCTCTGCTACTTGCTTCAGATCTAGAGTCTCTAGGAACACATAAAGACCAAGGGTAATGGCCACACAGACATTCACACGTACAAGGTCTAGTCTGTTTGACAAGTTTTATTCAAGTTACAATTAAAGTTATGAATACTCAAGCATATAGGAATTCTGTACAGACCTATGCACAAGTTATACTCACATCCTTAACAATAATGTTAGGGACTGATGGGTCTCTCATGGATTGATCATCAATAGAGGGATGGTTCCTGCTGGAATTTTCCATAGGGAGCTCAATTTTCCTGCTCTGGACAGGAAATCGTTTTATAATGCGATTCTGTGTATACCTACATTCGGTGCATGTCCATAAAAGTGTCAGCCCTCTTTTTTCCTTATTGGTCTGATGTCCCCTAGAAACTTAAGGGACCTCGATTTCTACAGGTTTTGTAGGCTCTCTTTATTCTCATTAGCATTGATGCACAACCTATACCCTGTGGTTAAGGCACATGTTGGAGACAGATGCGACTACAGTATTTTTATGATTTAAAATTAATCTTCTGGCTAATTTTTCGCAATATTGCCACTTGGTACCTCTTTTCCCATAATTTTAGGGCATCGGGTTAGTCTTCGGTCACTTACTTACGTCAGCATTTCTTATCTCCAAGGCCTGAAATAGCTAAGCTAAAAGCTTGCAGGCCTCAGCCTACAGGCCTTGCATTTCAACCCTACTTACTTAGTTACCTAATACCTGATTATTCCCTCTATGCTGATCAATCTTATACTTCTATAATCCTACAACGTAACTCTATTTAGCATAGAATGATTATATATAACATAACATGTTAGTTAATCATAACCACACAATAAATGAACAATGAACTAAAATCATTGGCTATAGGCTGCTGTCGGAGCACTGGCTCTGCCTAGGGTTACCATACGTCCTCTTTTTCCCGGACATGTCCGGCTTTTCAGCAGTCAAACCCCCGTCCGGGGGGAATTGCCAAAAAGCCGAACATGTCCGGGAAAATGGCGGCTCTGCTCCTCCCCGACTCTTCGGCTCTGTTTAAGAGCCGGGCTGCCCGAGCGCTACCGGCTTCAGGCAGCCCCCGTGCCTCCAGACCCTGCGCCCCCAGCCGGGCACTGAGATATGGTAACCCTAGCTCTGCCTTCCTGATTCTGTGCCTCTGTCTCAATCAAGGAGCAGATTAGACCAGCCTGGAGGCTGCTCTAGCTTCCATCTGCTGACAACAGTCCAAAGCGGCCACCTGCCAGCTGGGAATAGCTAGAGTACAGTTGTGGGTCAGAGGTTCCTGGGGACTCCCTGATGCTAGACGTATCCCCAGCAAGGGAGTTAGGGCTGAATGCCATCCACACAGCACTAAGGACAGAGCAGGCCAGAGAGCTTGGCCCAAGGTGCTCTTTAGCTAGCTATCTCCTTGTGACTTGGGGTTTGTGTTTGTAAATGACGTGATCGGGAAGAGCATCACTTTCACTTAGCAGCCTTAACTGTCTGAAGGGAAGGTTTTGTTGATTGAATATTAATGTAAAAGAGTACACTGGGGAATGAATGGTACATCCATAAAGGGCCTGTCCTAGAAAGGTCTAATCCTCTGTCCCCCATGTGGAGATAGCCTTCATCCATGGTGAGCCTGCATAGCACCTGGAGGGCTCTCATGTAAGGCAGGTGTACCTGCCTTAATGGAATCTCTTCTGCATAACTCCTGCCTGTTTGCTATCCTCCTGCACTTGCTGAGAGAGCCAGGAGCTCTGGCATAGCTAATACCCTGGGTTGTCTTTCTTGTAGGAATAGTGCAGCTTTGGTAGAAATGCACAAAACCTGAGCCACAGGTAGCCATGTGTTGTGGTCTTTGTGATAGCTGAGCCCCTGGGGTGGTGCGGGACAAAGCCTCTCTAATATCAGGCACCAATACAGTCCACTATATATGACACACAGAAACCCATGCTTTGCCCTTTTCTGATTCTCAGCCCTTTGCTGTGTGTTCTTAGGCTCCTCTGAAGAAAATTCCTATCAATAAACTCATAAAGAAAGAGGATGAGTTTGAGGAGGAAAAGCCAGAGTTGGAAGAACTGGATTGGTGGTCTAAGTACTATGAGTCCTTAAAGGAAATGAGCAACCAGGTAATGGTCTGTCACTTCCTTTGTCCCTTATTGGCATGAAAGCCGCAAGATCAATGGGAATTAAATATCGCAGTACTTGGGTGGATCCGGCCCCTCAGCTCTGGCCCTGGTCTCAGCATTTCATTGCTGGTTTGCGTAGGCAGCTCCCTGCTCAGTATGCTGACTGCTGAGAATCCCCTACCCACTCTGTGGGCACCTAGCTCAGGGCTGAGAGTTTGGCTGGGTGGCAGGGTGCCCAGGGGTTGGTGCTGCAGTGCTGAGAGAATTTGGCCCAAAGTGCCTATGTCACTTCTGAAAATGGGATTTGGGCTCCAAAGTCATGTCAGCCTGTCTCATTGTTCACTGGGCAGCTTTGGCTAATGAGCTGAACCCAGCAGCATGTAACTACTGATCCCAGCTGGGCCCCCCCACAATAGTGTTAATCAATCTAGTAGTGCCAGCACAGGTGCCAACTCCGTGGGTGCTCTGGGGCTGGAGCACCATGGGGACAAATTAGTGGGTGCTCTGCACCGGCAGCCAAGCTCCCCTCCCCCTGCCCCATCTCCTCCTCCACCTCCTCCCCTGAGCGCACTGCGTCACTGCTCCTCCACCTACCTCCCAGCACTTCCTGACTGGTTGCCACCAAACAACTGTTTGGCCGCTCCGGGAGGGAATGGGGGGAGGGGGAATATGGCGTGCTCAGGGGAGGAGGTGGGGCCGGGGTGGGGATTTGGGGAAGGAGTCGGAATAGGGGCAGGGAAGGGGCGGAGTTGGGGCAGGGACTTTGGGGAAGTGGTTGGAATGGGGGCAGGGAAGGGGGGGCGGGACCTCAGGGAAGGGTGTAGTCGGGGCGGGGTTGGGGGCAGAATGGGGTCAAGCACCCACCGGCGGGAGCAGAAGTCGGCGCCTGTGTATGCCAGGTAATAATGTGATAAGGGGAGGGGCTACTCTGGCATGAAATGGGCTAGGAGCATTCGCCGGCTGAGCAACGTGGTAACGGGTGTATGTTTCAGTGCAATAGTGACGAGGAGGACGGGGACAACGACGACCCGAATGAGGCAGGTGAGTTCTTGGACCAGCCAGGCACATACAGGGTTTGCTGGCATTCTCAAATCCTGACCTGATGTCAGATGACACTGCACATGCTGGTGCTATATTTCAGCCAGCTGTTCAATTGGCAGCAGAGTGCAGACCCCAAGCTGATAGCACTGGGGGCTAGTGAGATTGCTGCTGGGCCGTTTCCCTGGCGCACACAGATTGTGCCCCTCAGTCTGATAAAATAGCGATTTCATCAACAGATCTCCGACTGCTTCAGAATCTGATTTTTGTTTTACTATACCCAAGCCCTGACACAGGCCCTCCCCTGCCCCTTTCCTACTCTTGTGCCAGACACACCATTTGTACAGTAGGCAAATAGTTCTGCTTTCTGTACCAAGTCCTCAGTGACTTTCTGTCGTCTCTGTTGCTGGCCTCTGTGCTCTGCAAATGCCCCATGTTCTTCCAGGAAGCTAAATAGTGGAAATGCTTTTCGAGGACAGTTCTTATAAGACATTGATTGTCATGTTGCCCAATGATATTTTATCATGTTTTCAAACGACTGTCTGAAAGCCAAAGCTATTGCTGAGATGATGTCATGGAGTGACATACAAATCAGAGAGAAAAAATACCTTGTTTGGAGAAGCCAGGACATTTCATGATTTCGTTAATGCCCTTTGTAGATGGAGGGAACTTAAATGTGGACTCTTTTGATGTGGAAGCAGAAAATGGAGTGATAGTTGAAGCCGAGCCAGTGAGGCCCAAAAGGAAACTCATAGCTACGCTGCAGGTAAGTCTCCGAGGGTGACTGATCTGCTCTGTCTCAGCTTATTCCCTCCTGCTCCTTCTTCTTCACTGTCCTGCCAGCTGTGACCGCACAGATCCTAAAGGGGCAAAGCTAATCAGAATGCTGACACTCAGCCCTACCATCTGTTCACATGCACTGATCCGGTTCGGTGCTGAGTGCCCTCATCTCCCTTGGACACTGTCCGAAATGCCATAGAACCAGGGCGGGAATGGGGGAAATCATCCTTAGATCGCATTGACTCTTTCCTTCCCTTTGGGGAGACTGAGCTGGAAGGAAAGAGCCAAAATAACTTGCAGTTTATTTCAGATCTACAACTCAGAGCTGGAAAACGAGTTTGATAATTTTGAAGACTGGCTGTATATCTTTCCGCTTCATCGGGGGAAGGCGAATGAGGATGAGGATGGAAATGAGGATGAGAACTTTGTGGGGAAGTATAAGGTACTGTGTCATTTGAGTGCCATTCATATTGTGCGTGAAATAAAAAATGACAGCAATGCATGAAAGAGGGGAAAGCAATTAGCAGCATGAGAACATTTTAGAACATTTTTATCTGTTTATTCTTCACTAAGAAAGAATTGGGACGCTAAATTCCTTCATTATAGCGTGTAGTCAGGAGGAATGCCTTGTAGTATAAAGGCTCCTGCATGAAATTCTCATGGCAGATCTGCATTGTAGAAGTTTCATGCCATTCCTTGGGTACCATGGAACCAAAACAAGCAGTAGCCACTAGGGCAGTGGTCCCCAAACTGTGGGGCGTGCCCCCCACAGAGGAATGTTCGGGGGGGCATGCGGCGGGGTCAGGGCCAGTCCCCACAGGGGGTGGGGAGGGAGTGCCACATAGTTCTGCTCTGCCCCCAGAGCAGCTCCGGTCCCAGCCACAGCTCCACTTTGTCCCCAGCCACAGCTGCAATCCACCCAGCCCAGCTCTGGCCCCAGCCCCAGCTCCACTCTGCCCCCTGCTCCATCCCCAGCCCCAGCTCCACTCTGCCCCCTGCTCCGCCCCCAGGCCAGCTCTGCCCTCATTCGCCTTCAGCCCAAGCTCCTCAGCTGAGCGAGCTGTGCAGTAGTGGAGTGGGGGCGCAGACAGATTCCGTTACTGATAAGGGGGTGCGGGCGACAGGAAGAGTTTGGGTACCACTGTGCTACTAGGGGATGCATGTGTCTTAACCACAGACAACAGTGGCTCTGCCCACCTCTCCAGTGTCTCAGAGCTCACAAAACCGCCTCTCCCTGACATTTGGGGCCTGCCAGCTTTAGTTTAAGGTCTGTTTGAGGTAGTGTTTAGCTGTATTTAGTGCTCTGTTACTGCTGAGTGTTTATTGTCTGTCACTGGTGACACTTAGCCTGGATGGTGCCGGCCTAAAGACGGCTTAAATAATGTGCATCTCTCAGTATCAAGGTAGTTGGAGGGGAGGGCATGGATCTGCTGTGTTGTGTTGTGTTGACACCCAGGGCTATGAATTAGCAGGTAATCCTCAGTGCTGGCCTGTGTGAACTGAGTTCTGTTACTCTCCTCCCTCTATCATTGACTCTATCTCCCCGTGTAAGTACTCTCACACCTATTATCAAACTGTCTGTACTGGCCTAGCTTGATTATCACTTCA